CCCCAAAACCCCAAAACCCCAAAACCCCAAAACCCCAAAACCCCGGTTATGAAGAAGATAATTGGATTTTTATGGTAAATATTTATTATTAACTTAATGCCACAAAAACTATCAGCTAGGAAAAGATCAGCACGAAATACCTCCCTTGATGCTTATAAGCCTAATTGTAAGTGATCCATTGCAGTAAAGGAGAAATTTTCTTGGCGTATGAATAGGACTTTAAAAGAGCTTAGGTTTGCTTTTTTCTACTTGAGATCAGTTTCTAAACATCATGATTCACATATTCTTGGTTAAATTTTGTGAACTCTGTATCATAAGTATAAATCAGTTTTATCTAATTCTTTCTATTTGAGAAATTTACGACATTATAAGTCCAAGCAATGATTTGAACTCTTCTAAGAGTAAGGGCCTATTCTAACAAAATAAATAGTTCATTCATATTTATTGCATTTTGAAAAATGTTCTGAAATTTAAAAAGCCTACAGTTCATTTCAGAAATTTACATAAAGTGTATATAGATTTAAGAATGACTCAATGATCATCTAGTAAACAGTTTTCAGATTCTACCGCATATTCGGAGATCTTCAGTGAGTCCTTCGAGCTGCCATTCATCAAAGGAAATTCACCAGCCTACAGAAGAGCAAGATACTCTGAAAAGAGAAGAGATAGAACTTTGGATAAAAGTTTTGAAGATTTCATCAGCAACGATCATGTTTCTGCTTTAAAATAAACTTGAAGTTACATTAAGCATCAGCGATGATACTTGAGAGCCGACTCAATGCTCTACTCAGGTCAGCAGAAGAGAAAGGAACCTCGACACTGCACTTAAGAGTAGTAAGTTCAATCTTCAGATAATTGTATTCAAATGTTTACACTTTCATACTACCAAAATGCTTAATTTTAACTTTAGTCAAAGTCATGAAAAGAAGGAAACAAGTGACCAAGAACAAAGTAATTAAGTATGAATTTATACCATAGGGTGCTAAGAAAAAGCTCGTTTTCTTAAAGAGGAAGATACAAGCTCTCAACAAAGAAGGTAAATAAATTAAATCCATTCAGGCTTATTGTGCTTCAGAGGGATTTTGAGATAACTCTTGGTTAAACTATAGGTTTTACAACTAAAAGTCTAAAGAAGTCAGTCAGAAAGTTTCCAAGTCCGAGCAGGTCAAGGGCCAAATTGCCATACATCAACCAAAAGAGTTTGGATTCCGATTTTCAGAGACAAAATAGTGATTTCCTAATATCTTATTCGACCACTGCTCGTTCGTTTCTGAATGTATAATTCACTAATTAAAACGTTTCAATAGTAGTTCAACAATTTGGGGTTTTGGGGTTTTGGGGTTTTGGGGTTTTGGGG